TTTGTATTTTAATAGAGACGGGGTTTCACCATGTTGGCCAGGCTGGCCTTGAACTCCTGATTCATGATCTACCCACCTTAGGCTCCCAGAGTGCTGGGATTATAGGCATAAGCCACCGTGCCTGGCTGGGACAGTCTTTTGAGAGGAGGTGACAATGAAAGATGAGGCAAGTGAAGAAATGGAGGAGGCTCTCTCAAGCAGAGGTGACAATACGAAGGACAGAGGCAAAAACAAATTGGGGTATTCCAGGAGGGAAAGAAGGGGATAGCTAAAGCTAAGAGGGTTGGGAGGCCAGCAGAGGCCAGATCACCCAGGGCACTCTGATAGTTCAGCAGTGTGTTCTGCTACTAGGGCATTGTGATGGTTCTGTAGTGTGACTTGTTCTCTCTCTCTCTCTTTTTTTTTTTTTTTTGAGACAGAGTCTTGCTGTGTCACCCAGGCTGGAGTGCAGTGGCGTGATCTTGGCTCACTTCAACCTCTGCCTCCTAAGTTCAAGCAATTCTCCTGCCTCAGCCTCCCGAGTAGCTGGGATTACAGGCGCCTGCCACCTCGCCTGGCTAATTTTTGTATTTTTAGTAGAGATGGGTTTCACCATGTTGGCCAGGCTGGTCTTGAACTCCTGACCTCAGGTGATCCGCCCGCCCAGCCTCCCGAAGTGCTGGGGTTACAGGCATGAGCCACTGTGTCCTGCCTCTTGTAGTGTGACTTGTTCTAGGGGAAAGGGGAATCCAGTGGAGGGTTAAGAAAGAGATCTGACCTGAAAACCTTTCAAATTTCAAAGATCATCTTGGCTGCAGTATGGGGTGGGGTGGGGTGGGGTGGGATGGGATGGGATGTGGCTTGGACCCCTTTTTTTTTTGAGATAGCTTTCTTTTGGAAATAGAGCTGGACAGAGGGTGCAGAGGCCGATCCAAGGTTTGTGAGGCCTAATCATACAGTTTGAGGGCCTTCTATAAGAAAAATTAAAAACTAAACACAAAGTGAGATAGAAGACCCTGCAATGAGATAACACAAAAATGAGATAGAGGGTCCTGAGCAAGGGAGAGGCCCTGACACTGAAGCTTCTGGAGTTTCATGGTGAGTCCCCCCAGCGGTGGGGGTGAGGTCGGGAGAGATCAAGAATGCCCAGGTTTTGTGACTGAGCAACTTGTGATGCCATTAAGCTGAGAAAGAGGTGTTTGGGGTAAGGTCTGGAGAGAAGAGCTGGGTTTCCTTCGTGGCACTTTTGTGGTACCCAGGAAACAGCCATGTGGCTGAGGATAGAGGGACAATGGAACCCAGGAAGAGGGCAAGGCTGGAAATGGCAAGCCATCACTTTCATGGCATTTAAAGTTGTGGAAGTGGACGACATCAGGTTGGAAAGAGAAAAGAGAGCCAAGCAATCAGCCGCAAGACGACTCCACCTGAGGCCAGGCCATGGCGGTTTCTAGTTTATATCTAGTCCAAATATAATAGCATATTTAACATTAGTCACTTTAAGTTCTAATTCTCTTTTTCGCTCTGATCGCAAGGATTTCTTTCTTTACTTTTTTTTTCTGAGACAGAGTCTCATCCTGTCTCACTCTGTCACCCAGGCTGGAGGGCAGTGGCACGATCTCGGCTCACTGCAATCTCTACCTCCTGGGTTCAAGCGATTCTCCTGTCTCAGCCTCTAGAGTAGCTGGGATTACAGAAGACAGGGTTTCTTTAACATTTAAGGAATCCACTGATCTACTTCTGGAATCTTCAGATATAAAAAAGAGAAGGAATCCACTAATGCATGTAAGGATAGTGGGCTGAACAAGTAGGCACTAATGATCAAAACTAGTCAATTCAAAAAATTATTTGATCAAAGAATTGTTTATTTTTATTGTTTTTATTTTTATTTTTTCCTATACTTCAGGAGTAGTAGGATTTACTTTGTGCCAAGGAAATAACTAGTTTTCTGTAAATTGTCTTCAACCATTCAGGCCTCCTGCCAGCTAATGTAATTCTCCACCTCTCACTGAGAAACATTGTTTAACAATATGGAATGATCATTTAAAGAACTTAGATCAGGCTGAGTGTGGTGGCTCATGCCTGTAATCCCAGGACTTTGGGAGGTAGGTGGATATCACCTGAGGTCAGGAGTTCGGGACCAGCCTGGCCAACATGGTGAAACCCTGTCTCTACTAAAAATACAAACAAAATTAGCCAGGTGTGGTGGTGCAGGCCTATAGTCTCAGCTACTCAGGAGGCTGAGGTGGGGGAATTGCTTGAACTGGGGAGGTGGAGGCTGCAATGAGCTGAGATCACGCCACTGCACTCCAGCCTGGGCAACAGAATGAGATGCCATCTCAAAAAAAAAAAAAAAAAAAAAAGATGTTAGATCAAACTAATATTAAGAGGTCAAAAGACCATCTTCTTCCCATCTTAATCTAAAGATTTGTCTAGTTTTGTTTATACACTTAAGTTTTCATTTGATTATTCAGAGGGATAATAAACCCTACCCTTTTAAAGAATGTGGGAGTGAGTGGGAAAAGTAGGAATGCGTTTTAAAGTCTATCTGCCATGTAAAATCAGTGATATTGGACCCGTGTGATAAGAATGCTTGTTTTACATGGCTTCAGCTATCCATAGACCCAGCATTTTCTCTTCAAACATAGCTACATTTAGAAAATCTTAATATAGCTTAAAATAGGAATTTTGGTATTTGGACCTGGACACTGCCACTATAAAGGGATCCCATTATGTTATGATGTTATTATTCAAGCTGGTTGGAGTCAGTTTGCAGAGACTCCTATTCCACCAATCACTTGGCTTGTGTGAATTGACTATTTACTGGCTGTGAGATTGAGGATAAGGGCTAAATCTTTTCTAATAAGAGGACTATTTAAAAACCAGAAGAAAATCATACATTTCAGCTGCGAACTTTAGGAGAAACTTTAGAGAAAAGATTCTGTACATATCTTTAGTTTCATATGGTAATAGGTTATAAAACATATGAAATCAAAGTAAAGAGCTAGAAGTGATGGGGTACTGTTAAAATAGGGTGCTCAGGGAAGATCTTCCTGAGGGTGAGATCTAACAATGTATTGCTTTATGAAAATTAATTTTCTGGCAGAGCAAAGGTATTTAAAAGATTAGTATTAAAAATAAAAATGCTCAACCTACTTTCTTATGACTTCTGTAAAAAAGTACTTTTTTATATGTCAGATTTCTAAGTTATAATAATAACACAACATTTTGATTTCTTTCTGTGTTTGAGTGATAACCTTCTATGCTTTATCTTATTTAATTCTCATATGTAACCAATGATCCTTCAACCGTTTTGTCAAGAAGACTCTTTAAACATGTATTCATTCCTTCCTGGCCTTTTGAAACCTTTTGAAACACTGAATTATTTTTCACCTTTCCAGAGCGGGGCATATAGGATAGAAGTTGGCCCTTGGGGTCAGGGGATCCTGGCTGTAGTTGCAGCTTCCCCCTTAACTAGCTGTGATTCTGAACTGGGTTCTCCATGCTTCCCAAAGCCTCATCTGTAAATTTCCTCATCCGTAAATTGGGAGAGTTGGACACCTCCCTAGGGGACCCTCCCAGCTCCAGCGTCTAAGGACCATCAAGTCGGTTATGTCACTGGGTTGTAGGAGAGTGGTGGATACAGAGGACACTTAGGCTTGCTTGCCCTGAAGTGAAATTGTTCTGGAACTCTGGAATTTCAACTCTTATATTTCTGCCTGTGTTTTGGAAGTGTTTTCCCTGCTCATTTTCTCCATCAGATAGTGTCGTTTATTGTAGTTGCCAACATAAAATGACAGCTGTCTCCACTTGTCAGCTGCTCTTATCATCTGGTTTGCTGTGTGCTTTGGAAGGCAGATGACCAAGCACGTATGAACTAGGCACAAGAGCATATGAACCTGGCACAGAGAAGACAGCTGAGGATATTTCCTGTAGAGTAGCATGTGTGAATTTGGTAAGGTATTTGGCCACTTAGGTATTTTTCTTTTTCTTCTTCTTTTATTTATTTTTTTTTGAGATAGGGTCCCACTCTGTCACCCAGGCTGGAGTGCAGTGGCAGTCATGGCTCACTGCAGTCTTGACCTCCCCAGCTCAAGGAATCCTCTCACCTCAGCCTCCTGAGTCCCTGGGACTACAGATGCATTCCACCATGACTGGCTAATTTTTTCTATATTTTGTCTCACTATGTTGCCTAGGCTGACCTCAAACTCCTAGGCTCAAGTGATCCTCCCACCTCAGCCTCCCAAAGTGCTGGGATTATAGGTGTGAGCCACTGTGCATGGCCGGTATTTTTCATTTGGAGGTTTATAACTGCATTCCAGAATTTTCACTCTACTGGAAAACTAACAGAATGCTCCAGTACAAATCTGTCTCACATACTAGTTAGTGTCTTTGAGGTTCCATCACAGACAAATGACAGAGGAAAGCAAAGCTGTTTAGGAAGGTCTAAATTGAACATTCTATAATAAAGGCGTTCCCATTTGACAAGTCCCTGGTATCTAATACTTTATAAGATGACATTGAGCCGTTTTTACCCCTAGTTAGAGGATTAAGTTCTAGGAGAAGTTAAGCAGGTGGTTCCTTAAGTAAGTAGTCTTTGGACTACTTAGGGATTGATTTTGTTTTCCCATAATGAAAATGAATTCTGTTTTCCTTTGTTTACTTGACTTTAGTGATCTCTGAAAACTAAGATAAAATATACTCAGCCTCTGAGGGAATACAACCTTAATGTACAGAAGACAAAATAGGGACTCTGAAGATTTTAAACAGAACATCTTGAGATTTGAGAAATTAAAGGCAGTAAAAACCAGACTGCTTGTAAGCACTTTTTTTCCCCATAGGAAAGCAGTGTAGATAATCCTGATGGGTTGGATTTCAATTAATTGGTGAATAGAAGGTAAAATGATCAAGAAACAAATATCGTAATTATAGGAGAAAATAGGAACTTTTTTGTTTTAAAGGAAATAAAGAATAGAATTCACAGTGAACAGAGACAGAATAAAATCTGATAATTCTAGACTCACTTGAGTACCACAAGGATCCCGATCAGGGAAAACAGCTGGGCCTACACATGGGTCCCGGAAAGGCTTCTCCCCGGAACCACCTAAGTGAAATAAAAACTCATTTCTGACTGTTTCAGGATGGTCACACAGACCTTTAGGATAATAACCAACATTCTTTCGGGCAACTCTAACCAAGTGATGCCTCCTTAAGGTTTTGGAGTGAGTCCCCAGCTCATGTAAGGCATGAACCAAAGAACAATGAGCCGTCATAAAACCGTCATTGTTTCATACTTGGTTTTTGTGTAGAATGTTCTCCAAATCATTGTCTCTGACCTTTCCTTCCTCTTGGATATGACTGTGGTGACTCCAGGAGATGAACTAAAGGGACCTCCTGGATCTCACAGGGAAAGCCTTTCCCTCCAGTACCATGCTAATTTGTTCCTTGGTGCAGATGAAATTCTTAAATGGTTTCATCTGGATGTGAGGTTTTGGGATGACTTACTGCGGTCAGAGCTGTTCCCGGCACTATGGCTGCTCCAGTTGTGGGATGTCATCAGTCCCACAGTTCTGACCTCCTGGCTCAGAGACGTCACCATGGAGACACCTGGCTGCTATTGTGACCCGCAGGAGGTCAGCTGGCTCCCGCTGGTGGGCATTTCTACTGCCCACCCTGCCAGCTTCACGGGCCCACACTGCACAGACATTTTGACGTTACAGGCTAGCCCAAGCTCCCGAAGCTGTGAAAAGGAAAGGGAGCTATCTATAGGCCTTTGAGAACTTAAAACCCATGTTGCTGGGGGCCACTCCGATTGGGTACAAATGTGTCATCAAATTCCGTTTTGAAACTGTCTGAGTAGCTTCTTTACCTATAGATTTTGATTCTATTCACTACTCAATACTGAAAAGAGAAATTGATCTCTCAAATAGACAAAGATAAATTTGTATGGAAACAACAGGAAATTCCGTATTACATAAATTTATGTCAACTGGGTTTGTAATTCAATTACTTTTTCTTTTATTTTAGTGGACATGTAATAATTACAAATATTGGCTGGGCGGGGTGGCTCATGCCTGTAATCCCAGCACTTTGGGAGGCCGAGGTGGGGGGATCATTGAGCTCAGGAGTTCAAGACCAGTCTTGGCAACATGGCAAAACCCCATTTCTATGAAAAATGCAAATATTAGATGGGTGTGGTGGTGCACACCTGTAGTTCCAGCTGCTCAGGAGGCAGAGGTGGGAGGATCATCTGAACCTGGGGAGGTTGAAGTTGCAGTGAGCTGTGATTGCACCACTGCACTCTAGCCTGGGCAACAGAGTGAGACCTTGTCTCAAAAAATAAACAATAAAAAATTGTAGATATTTATGGAATGTAATTTAATTATTATATCACAGATTAACATCAATTTTGCCCTGTATTCTCGTGGTTCTCAATGCCCTAGCTTTGTACATTTAGTTTGTTTTTTTGAAACAGATTCTCACTCTGTTGCCCAGGCTAGAGTGCAGTGGCGTGATCTCGGCTCATTGCAACCTCTGCCTTCCGGGTTCAAGAAATTCTCCTGCCTCAGCCTCCCAAGTAGCTGGGATTACAGGTGCCCACCACCATGCTCGACTAATTTTTGTATTTTAGTGGAGACAGGGTTTCACCACGTTGGCCAGGCTGGTCTCGAACTCCTGATTTGGTGATCCCCCTGCCTCGACCTCCCAAAGTGCTGGGATTACAGGTGGGAGCCACTGTGCCTGGCCTAATTTTTGTATTTTTAGTAGAGATGGGGTTTCACCATGTTAGCCAGGCTGGTCTTGAACTCCTGATTTCGTGATACCCCTCTTTCGGCCTCCCAAAGTGCTGGGATTACAGGCATGAGCCACCACACCCAACCAGGAAACTTAAAACCATCAGATCTCGTGAGACTAATTCACTATCATGAGAACAGCACAGGAAAGACCTGCCCCTATGATTCAATTACCTCCTACCAGGTTCCTCCCATGACACATGGGAATTGTGGGAGTTACAACTCAAGATGAGATTTGGGTGGGGACACAGCCAAACCACGAGTGGCCTTATTTGCCTTTAATTCATTCTACTTCATGTAGCTATAGATGGGCTGTGAGAATCTTGGATAATTGGAAAACCCCATGGTCTTTTTTTTTTTTTTCTCTTATAAAATGTCCACCCTCTGATGATCATTTAGATATGTTGATATGTTGTCCTTCAGTTAACATTATTTTAGGATCTTTCTTTCTCTTTCTTTCTTTTCTTTCTTTCTTTCTTTCCTTTCTTTCTTTCTTTCTTTCTTTCTTTCTTTCTTTCTTTCTTTCTTTCTTTCTTTCTTTTTCTTTCTTTCCTTTTCTTTCTTTCTTTCTTTCTTTCTTTCTTTCTTTCTTTCTCTTTCTTTTTCTTTCTTTCCTTTTCTTTCTTTCTTTCTTTCTTTCTCTCTCTCTTTCTTTCTTTCTTTCTTTCTCTCTTTCTTTCTTTCTTTCCCTTCCTCCCTCCCTCCCTCCCTCTCTTCCTTCCTTCCTTCCTTCCTTCCTTCCTTCCTTCCTTCCTTTCTTCTTCCTTTCTTTCTTTCTTTCTTTCTTTCTTTCTCTTTCTTTCTTTCTTTCTTTCTTTCTTTCTTTCTTTCTTTCTTTCTTTCTTTCTTTCTTTCTTTCTTTCTTTCCCTCCTTCCTTCCTTCCTTCCTTCCTTACTGCTTCTGCTTCTGCTTCTGCTTTTTTTTTTTTTTTTTTGAGATAGAGTCTTACTCTGTCGCCCAGGCTGGAGTGCAGTGGCATGATCTTGGCTCACTACAGCCTCCACCTCTCAGTTTCAAGTGATTCTTCTGCCTCAGCCTCCCCAGTAGCTGGGATTACAGGCACCTGCCACCATGCCTGGCTAATATTTGTATTTTTAGTAGAGACAGGGTTTCACCATGTTGATCAGGCTGGTCTCGAACTCCTGACCTTAGGTGGTCCACCCGCCTCGGCCTCCCAAAGTGCTGGGATTACAGGCATGAGCCACCAGGCTGGGCCCAGGACATTTCTTTTAATTCTGTTATACTATTAAGGGCAGTGGTATCTGTGTTAATGATGGATAATAATGTACATTGTTTTTTGTTTAAAAGAAGAGAAAGGGGGCCAGGTGCAGTGGCTGACGCCTATAATCCCAGCACTTTGGGAGGCCGAGGGGGGTTGGATCATGAGGTCAGGAATTCAAGACCAGCCTGGCCTACATGGTGAAACCCTATCTCTACTAAAGATACAAATAATTAGCCGGGTGTCGTGGTGCACACCTGTAATCCCAGCTATTTGATAGGCTGAGGCAGGAGAATTGCTTGAACTTAGGAGGCGGAGGTTGCAGACAGCTGAGATAACACCATTGCACTCCAGCCTGAGTGACAGGGCAACTCTGTCAAAAAAAAAAAAAAAAAAAAAAAAAGGAAGAGAAACGAAGAAAAGTGTTTGTCCTTATTTCTTAAAATACTCAGTGAATATTGTGTTCAAGTGATTAACTGTGGTGCCTTCAGCTGCCCCTGAAGTAGTCATAACTTTTTACTCTAACTCCTAAACGTAACACCACATCTACCCATATACAAACAGGTACATACTTATTTATTTTTTAACATCATTAGTCTTAGTTTTTTGAATGTTGAACCTGCAGGCTTTAAAAGTACAACTTAGGGCCAGGCACGATGACTCACTAGCACTTTGGGATGCCAAGGTGGGAGGATTGCCTGAGCCCAGGAGTTTGAGATCAGCCTGGGCAACATAGCAAGATCCTGCCCATACAAAAAATAAAAAATTAGCCTGGCCTGCTGGCACAAACTTGTAGTCCCAGCTACTTGGGAGGCTGAGGTAGGAGTATCGCTTGAGCCCAGGAGGTTGAGGCTGCAGTGAGCTGTGATTACTCCACTGCATGCTAGCCTGGACATTGGAGAGGGACCATGTCTCGGGAAAAAGAAAGAAAGAGAGAAAGAAAGAAAAAATCCAACTGAAAAAATATATTTAGCTGGGTGCGGTAGCTCACACCTGCGCCTGTAATTCCAGCACTTAGGGAGGTCAAGGCAGGCGGATCACTTGAGGCCAGGAGTTTGAGACCAGCCTGGCCAACATGACGAAACCCTGTTTTGAGTAAAAATTCAAAAATTAGCCTGCTGTGGTGGTGTGCACCTGTAATCCCAGCTACTGAGGAAGCTGTGGCAGGAGAATCACTTGAACCTGGGAGATGGAAGTTGCAGTAAACCAAGATCGTGCCACTGCACTCCAGCCTGGGCTATAGAGAGAGAAACCTTGTCTCAAAAAAAAAAAAAAGAAAAAAAAATTAAAGTGTTCACAACATAAATGAAGCAGCTCATTTAGAGAGGAAGGGAAATGCCTGGAAGCCAAGTGTTGGCGTTTCCACCAAGGCTGAGCATTCTTATATGGAGAGCCTGCCGAACTGCCTTTCTTGGGATGCATATTTTCATGCTACATCATACATTTGGTGAAGCAATTCAGCTACACCCTTTCAGTGGGGGCTGAAGATGAATCAGCTCATCATGTTGTAATTCAGAAAAAAGCGAGGTTTATTTTTTTTCAGGCAATCATTCTAAAATGCCAGAGGAAATGAAGCCCCTTAGCCCACTGGCCCCGATCTGTGCCGGCTTTTGCACTAAAATGGAGAGGCTGTTCTGCAGGACTTGCTCCTCAAACAAAGGATCTTCCCGAAATGCATCTCCACAGACCTTCTACTCAAAAATTCATCTCTGTGGGAGAGGGGACATTTTGTAGCATTTTGTCTTCAGCTTGTACTCTACAAAAATCAAACTTCAGATATGAAAATTCTTTTCAACTATAGATTCATTGAACTAGAAAGGGCCAGAAGAACTCTAATTGATACAATTAGGACTTACATAATTTATGTTAAGAGAAGACTAGATATGAAGCAACCCAGAGAATAAGTCTCTAATCTGCACTTAACCTTTTATTTTTCTTTTTTCTTTTCTTTTCTTTTTTCTTTTTGTTTTTTTCTTTGAGACGAAGTTTTGCTCTAGTTGCCCAGGCTGGAGTGCAGTGGCACGATCTCAGCTTATCACAACCTCCGCCTCCCGGGTTCAAGCGATTCTCCTGCCTCAGCCTGCCTCAGCCTCCCGAGTAGCTGGGATTACAGGCATGTGCCACCACGCCTGGCTAATTTTGTATTTTTAGTAGAGAAGGGGTTTCTCCATGTTGGTCAGACTGGTCTCAAACTCCAGACCTCAGGTAATCTGCCTGCCTCAGCCTGCCAAATTGCTAGGATTATAGGCATGAGCCACCGCACCTGGCCTAACCTTTTAAAAAGAAATTTTTCACGGGCAAAAGATCTGAATAGACGTTTCTCCAAAGAGGGTATACAAATAGCTAATAAGCCCACAAAAAGATACCCATACATGGGAGGTTGAGGCAGGAGAATCACTTCAACCTGGGATGTGGAGGTTGGAAGTTGCAGTGAGCTGAGATCATGCCACTGCACTCCAGCCTGGGTGACAGAGCGAGACTCTGTCTCAGGGGGGGGAAAAAAAAGATGCCCAACATTAGTCATCAGGGAAATGCAAATCGAAACCACAATGAGATACCACTTCATACAAACTAAAATGGCTATAATCAAAAAGTCATAATAATAATGTTGGTGGGTATGTGGAGAAATCGGAATCCTCTTACACTGCTGGTGGGAGTGTGAAGTGGTGCAGGTGATTTGGAAAACAATCTGGCATTTTCTTGAAAAGTTAAACAGAGTTCCATTTGACCCAGCAATTCTGCTCTTTGGCATATACCCAAGAGAAAAGGGAACTTGTAGTCCCAGCTACTTGGGAGGCTGAGGTGGGAGGATCACTTGAACGTGGGAGGTCAAGGTTGCAGTGAGCTATGATTGCACCACCGCAATCCAGCACGGGCAACAGAGTGAGACCCTGTTTCTAAAAAAAAAAAAAAAAAAAAAAGTGCGAACAACCCAAATGTCCATCAGCTGAGGAATGGATAAATGAAATGTGGTATATGCATACAATGGAATATTATTTAGCAATAAAAAGAAACATGAAATACTGATATATGCTCCAACACTGGATGAACTTTAAAAACAGTACGCTAAGGGAAAGAAGGCAGTCACAAAAGATTACATATTATGTGATTTAATTTATATGAACTAGAATAGGCAAATCTATAAAGACAAAGTTGACTAATGGTTGCTTAGGGCTAGTGGAGCTGTGCGGGGGGTGGGGCAGGAGAATGATAGCTAAAGGGTAAGGTTTTTTTAATGGATAAAAGTGTTCTAAAATGGATTATGTTTATGGTTACACAGCTATGAATATACTAAAAAACCAAGAAGGGTACTTTAAATGAGTGAGTTGTATGGTATGTGAATTATATCTCAAGAAGAAAGAAAGAATGAAAAAGAAATCTCTCTAGGTTTCTTCCTGGTTGCCAGAAAATTCTTTTTTTTTCTTTTTTCTTTTTTTTTTTTTTGGGACAGGATCTTGCTCTGTCACCCAGGCTGGAGTGCAGTGGTGTGATCACTGCTTACTGCAGTCTTGACCCCCCAGGTTTGAGGGATCCCCCCACCTCAGCCTCCCAAGTAGCTGAGACTGCAGGTATGAGCCACCATATCTGGCTAATTTTAACATTTTATTTTTTTTGTAGAAACAGTCTCCCTATGTTGCCCAGGTGGTCTTGAACCCCTGGACTCAAGTGATCCTAATACCTTGGCCTCCCAAAGTGCTCGGATTACAGGCATGAGCCACTGTGTCTTTCCAGAAAATTCTTTCCCATATTTGGTATTTTTCTTTTGCTCACTCTCATCAACACTTGTTTTGTTTTTGGTGGAGACAGAGAAGGGTAAACACTTCCTCGTCTTGAATCATAAATCTTCTAATACTCAAAGGCCATTAGTATATTAGCCATTTGGAGGAAGTGATTTCAGTGCCTTTAACCTTTCCTTATAGGATTCATTGTTATGCCGTTATTTGCCTTTCTACCTCTCCAGGAGCTTCTTAACCATTCTGGGCCTCAGATTCTTCACCTATAAAATGAGACTGGTGGACTAGATCTCAAAGACCCCTTCCAGGTCTGAAGTCCTGTCATGAATGTCGGCATCCTTTGAGAAATCATGAACATGTACAAATGAAAACAGTTTTCTGAACCATGGAAGGCAAAACTGTAATCAGCTATGAAAAGAAGCTGGAGACAGACTGAGGTAGACAAGTTTTACAGTCAGTGAACACAGCATGAAGTGGGCACAGCAAAGGCCTGAGAGTCAGGAAACTTAATCTCTGCTTTGATAACTCATGGTAAGATTTGGGAGAAGTCACATGACCTCTTGAGTACATTTTCTTTTCTATAAAATGGGCATCATATAACCTGCCTACCTCTCTCTAAGCAATGTTCTCACTGAGTGATTAAACAAGTAAATATTTTTGTAATGCACAGATTATAATATTTTATATATGATTCACAACAAAAGTGCTGTCATTGAAACAATTCTTTCCTTGAAAGAAAATTTACGATACGTATTTTTTTTTTATTCATTTCATTTTGGTTTTATCATCTCCTCTTAAAACTTAATGAATATAGGCTGGGCGCAGTGGCTCACGCCTGTAATCCCAGCACTTTTGGAGGCTGAGGTGGGCAAATCACTTGAAGCCAGGAGTTTGAGACCAGCCTGGCCAACATGGTGAAACCTCGTCTCTATTAAAAATACAGAAATTAGCCGGGGGTGGTGGCACAGCCTGTAATCCTGGCTACTCAGGTGGCTGAGGCACAAGAATTGCTTGAGCCTGGGAGGCAGAAGTTGCAGTGAGCGGAGATGACGCCAGTGCACTTCAGTCTGGGCGACAGAGCAAGACTCTGTCTTAAAAACAAAACAAAAAAAACTTAATGAATATGGCATAGCAAAATGTAAAGAAATATAAAAATAAAAGCTTAATGAAATCATGATTAATGTGAACAAAGTTTATGAGAACATTAAAAATTAATAAGAAGTATTTTTCTTCCAAATTTGGCTTTGTAAAAGCCTATGTTAATTATAAAAATTGTTAAGCATTTTTCTAGTTGCCACTTCTCCCACATTTATATTGTTCTCATTGTTAAGGTGTCTTATATTGCTTTTTTAAAAATTATACTTTAATTTCTGGGGTACATGTGCAGAATGTGCAGTTTTGTTACATAGGTAAACACATGCCATGGTGGTTTGCTGCACCCATCAACCCATCATCTACATTAGGTATTTCTCCTAATGCTATCCCTTCCCTAGCCTCCCACCCCCCGACAGGCCCCAGTGTGTAATGTTCCCTTCCCTGTGTCCGTGTGTTCTCATTATTCAGCTCCCGCTTATGAGTAAGAACATGTGGTGCTTGGTTTTCTGTTCTTGTGTTAGTTTGCTGAGAACGATGGTTTCCAGCTTCATCCATGTCCGGTGTCTTATGTTTCTGAGTAGAACCAGAGGTCAAGGGACCATGTCAAATCTCTCCATTGTTACACCTTAATGCATGTAACAATGCCATGCACCTGGTATTTCCTCATTAAATACTGATGACATTTATTGCCTGCTAATGGAAGAGGTTGAACTGCTCAATATAAATAGGACATTGAAAATTTGCAGTCCAGACAGAAGTTTTTTGTGTGAGTCTAGTGATTTCTGAGAATCATAAAGCTAATTTAAAGCATCTTAGGCAATAACAAATATCTCATGGTATTCATGAGATCAATGACATCATGAAACTTAGGAAACTGAACAATCGTCGCATAAGTTGACACACTTAAAAGAGAGATGGTCTTCCAAGCATGGAGAGCATATGATTTTCCAGGGGTACCACCTTTGCTCAAAAGAGCATGGAAATTCCCCTGTTTGGAATTTGGAATCTGTCCAGAGTCAGATTACCATCCCTCAGGAAAATCAACCTCATTTCTTATAGCCATACAATGTGGTTAATGATGTTTGCTCTTCCTCTCTTGTAAGCTATTGAGTTATCTTCAAATAGGATGCGTTGCATAGGTAACAATGGGATCATGCCAATTACTGTGTAATTGGAGTTAGAGATAGGCCTGCTTAAAATCAAGAACAATAAACATCCATAGAGCTGAGATTGCCAGTGTCCCAGATACTTTCAGGTGTGTTATTCCATCCTTAAAACTACCCTTTGTGACAGGTGGTACTTTCCTCAGGAATACGGGACATTCAGGGATATCCACACAGATTCTGGGCCATGGGAGAGTCCGGATGGGCTGTGCAGTCTGAAGTTGCTGATAGCTGTCACTCTTGCTGGGGGTCACGTGGCACATTGCTTGCTGCTACTGGGATGTCCACTCAGGGCACAGCAAACCACTATAGTTTATTAGCACAGCAACAAGCAGTGCTCACTAAGGGCTATGAAGTTGCTGGCTTTGGCCAAGGTCCCAGCTTGCTTTCTGGGGCTGAGACTAAGGGTGTTCACATTGACAGGGTTCAGGCCATCTTGAGGCCACTCTCTGCTCCTCCAGGAGTGGAGGGCCCACCTTCTTTCCTTCTCAACTCCTCCTATTTTCTCTTCCTCCCCAGGATGCTCTAACTTCCTCCTAAGCTTTTTTTTTTTTTTTTTTTTTTTTTTTTTGAGACAGAGTTTTGCTTTGTTGCCCAGGCTGGAGTGCAGTGGTGTGATCTCAGCTCACTGCAACCTCTGCCTCCCGGGTTCAAGCAATTCTTGTGCCTCAGCCTCTTGAGTAGCTGGGATTACAGGCGCCCGCCACCACACCTGGCTGGTGTTTTGTATGTCAGTAGAGACAGAGTTTCACCATGTTGCCCTTGCTGGTCTCAAACTCCCGAGCTCAGGCAATCTGCATTTCTCAGCTTCCCAAAGTGTTAGGATTACAGGCGTGAGCCACTGTGCCCGGCCCCAAGCTCTTGTTTAAGGATGAATCTTATAGGCTGCCTCTTTAGAACCTTGCCTTTTGACTCTTTAAAAACAAACAGACAAACAAACAAAACAAACAAGCACCAAAATGCCAAACTCAGGTTTGGCTTTAAAACGATTGTTATGTGTTTAGCTCAACTGGAAAAACTGAATGAAAAAATGTATAGCTCATGTATACAATAAGGTAGATTATCAAACACATACAGCAGAAAGCTCATTTCAGATCAGAAGTTCTACATTCAGTGTCACAGTGAGGATGGTAGAAATGAAAACATTTTATTCATTATTTTGCGTGTTGCCTATTTTTTTCTAATTTTTAAAATACACATATTGCTTCTTTCTGTTAATAAAAGGTTATTTTAAATGACTGCACTAATACAGTTTGTATTGTGATAAAATATACATGACAAAATTTACCATCTTATCAAATTTTTTTTTTTTTTTTGAGATGGAGTCTCTTTCTGTCGCCCAGGCTGGAGTGCAGTAGTATGATCTTGGCTCACTGCAATCTCTGCCTCCCAGGTTCAAGCGATTCTTGTGCCTCAGCCTCCCATCCTGAGTAGCTGAGATTACAGGCGTGAGTCACCACGCCCGGCTAATTTTTTGCATTTTTAGTAGAGACGAGGTTTCAGCAGGTTGGTCAGACTGGTCTCAAACTCCTGGTCTCAAGCAATTCGCCCGCCTCGGCCTCCCAAAGTGCTGGGATTACAGGTGTGAGCCACTGTGCCCGGCCCTGTCTTACCAATTTTTAAGAGTACAGTTCAGCAGCATTAAATATATTCACAATGTTGTGCAGCCATCGCCACCATCATGTCCAGAATTTTTTTGGTGTGAAACAGGGTCTCACTCTTTTGCCCAGGCTGGAATGCTATAGCACAATCACTGCTCACTGCAGCCCCGACCTCCCAGGCTCCAGTGATGCTCCCACCTCAGCCTCCCCAGTAGCTAGGACTGCAGGTGTGCACCACCATGCCTGGCTAATTTTTTAAATTTTTTGTAGAGATGGGCTGGTCTGTGCCCTATGTTGCCTAGGTTGGTCTCAAACTCCTAAACTCAAGTGATCCTCCTGCTTTAGCCTCCCAAAGTGCAGGGATTACAGGTGTGAGCCACAGCACCCGGCCCGGAATTTTTTTCATCTTGCAAATCTGAAATTCTGTATACATTAAATGCTAACTCCCCATCCTCCCCACCTCTAGTCCCTGACAACCACCATTCTACTTTCTGTCTCTGTGAATTTGACTAGGTACCTTATATAAGTGGAATCCCAGTCTTTGCTAAGATGCTATTTTTTGTGTGTCTGGTTTATTTTACTTAGCAATAATAATGTCTTCAAGCTTCATCTATGTTATAGCACGTATCAGAATTTCCTTCCTTTTTAAAGCTAAATAATATTTCATTGGATGGATATACTACATTTTGTTTATCCATTCATCCATTGATGGGTACTTGGGTTGCAGATACATTTTGATTATTGTGAATAGTGCTGCTATGATCACGGGTGTAACTAATACAGTTTAAAGAATTTATTTAGGAGATAAAAATAAACAGTATTTAGATTTTGGTTATATTCCTATTACTGATTTTCTTTTTACCTAAGCCTTTGGCTGAAGAAAGGAAGGGCCATGCCTGCTGAATTGGGAAAGAAGAGCAGGGAATGAAGTAAAAGGACAGCCACAGACTAAGGGTTAGTGTTCAGAACATACAAGAATTCTTACAAATCAGTAAGGAAAAGATGTGCCACTCAATAGAAAATGGTCAAAAACTTGAACCGACATTTCATAACAGAGACAATCCAAAATGAAACAATGCTCAACCAAAAAGTAATCAGAGAAATGCAAATCAGAACTACAACAAGATACAATTATGCACCCACCAGAATGGCTAAATCTGTTTTTCAAAGCTAACCAAAGCAAGAAGAACTTACTTACACAGCCAATGGAAGTGAAAAATGGTACAAACCTTTGGAAAATAATTTACTGTTCTCTTGTAAAGTTGAAAATAAATAAACCCCAGGAGCCTGCAGCTTATTTCCTGGGTATATTCTCTGGAAATCTGCATGCACAGATGCACCAGGGTGCAATAATGCTCCTGATAGCATCGCTCATAATAGCCCCAAACCAGAAACAACCGAAAAAGTCATCTGCAACACAATGGATGCATTCATTGTGGTGTATTCATTTGATGGAATACAGAATTACAGCTACACGCACCATGGATGAAACTCACAATATGATGTTTAGTGAAAAAGTTTAGTGAAAAAAGGCAGAGTCAAAAGATTTCATATGATTGCTTCCATCTGTGTAAAGTTTAAATTAGGCAAAAAATAATATATTTTTAGGAAAGCATGTGTAGGTGGTGCTATGGTTTGGATGCAGTTTGTTTAGCTCTGCCAAGTCTCATGTTGAAATTTAATCCCCAGTGTTGAAGGTGGGGTCTCGTGGGAGGTGTTTGGATCCCTCATGAATGGCTTGGTGCCATTCTCTTGGGAGTGAGTTCTCACTCTCAGTTCCCAAGAGAACTGGTTGTTGAAAAAAGCCTGGTACCTTCCTGGTACCTTCTTCCTCGCTCTGTCTTGCCTCCTTCTCTCTCACCATGTGACCTGCACACGCTGGCTCCCCTTCCCCTTCCGCCATGAGCGGAAGCAGCTTGAGGTCCCCACCAGAAGCAGATGCTGGTGCCATGCTTCTTGTATGGCCTGCAGAACCATGCACCAAATTATCTTTTCTTTATAAATCACCCAGCCTCAGATATTCCTTTGTAGCAACATAAACAGACGAAGACAGGTGGTCAATATATAATAGGAAGCAAGGTGTCAATGGGAAGGGTTTTGAGTGGGGAGGAATGTGTGGGACAGGGGACACTGTCCTATCTTCTGACTTAGGTGGTGGCTACTTTATAATTAAAAATATACGTATTTCAAAATAATTATAAAATTCACAGGAAGATGCAAACACTGTGCATAAATGTATACCTGTCAATTCCCCCAATAGTTGGATCACACATAATGATAGTCCAAATTGACATTGGTCCAATATATGGATCTAGTTCTGTGTCATTTGATGACACAAACAGTTTTGAGTGTCTGCCACCACCCACATGATACAGTACTAGTCTATCACCACAGAGCTCCTCGTGTGCGTCTCCTTCATAATTTCCTCCCTCCAGCCCCTCCCACCATCCCTAGACCCTGGCAACAACCACTAGTCTATTTTCCTCTTCTGTAATTTTGTCATTGGAAATGTTGTATAAATGGAATTGTATAATGCATGACCTTCTGAGATTGGCTTTGTACAATCAGCAGAATCCGCTTGAGATCGACGCATGTTCTTACCAATAGTTTGTTCCTTTGTGTTGCTGAGTCGCATTTCACTGTATGGATGCACCTTTTTTTTTTTTTTGAGACGGAGTCTCGCTGTGTCTCCCAGGCTGGAGTGCAGTGGCGTGATCTCGGCTCACTGCAAGCTCCGCCTCCCGGGTTCACGCCATTCTCCCGCCTCAGCCTCCCAAGTAGCTGGGACTACAGGCGCCCGCCACCACGCCCGGCTAGTTTTTTGTATTTTTAGTAGAGATGGGGTTTCACCATGTTAGCCAGGATAGTCTCGATCTCCTGACCTTGTGATCCACCCGCCTCGGCCTCCCAAAGTGCTGGGATTACAGGCTTGAGCCACGGCGCCCGGCGGATGCACCTTTTTTGATGGACATTTCAGTTGCTTCCAGTTTTTGCCTATTACAAATAAAGCTACTATGAGTACTTGTGCATAGTTTTCTGTGTGTATACACATTTTTACTTCTTAAATAACTCCCAAGAGTGCAATTGCTGAGTTTTATGGTAAGTGTATGCTTAGTTTTAAAAGACACCAACACACCATTTTCCAAAGTGACTGCACCATTTTACATTTCCACCAGCAATGTATGAGAAGTGCAATTTCTCTGCATCCTTGCCAGCATTTGCTATTGCTGCTATTACACTTTTCCCCCCCATTCTGATACATGTGTAGTGTTAGGTCATCATGGCCTTAATTTGCACTTCCTTAATGGCTGGTGATGTGGAACATTAGTGGAGGAGGGGCAGCGTTCTATCTTCTGACTTAGGTAGTGGTTGAACTGTGAATGTTTTGTATTTCACAGTAAAATAGGAAAAGAAGTGGCCGGGCGCGGTTGCTCACGCCTGTAATCCCAGCACTTTGGGAGGTCAAGGTGGGTGGATCACTTGAGGTCAGGAGTTGAAGACCAGCGTGGCCAACATAGTGAAACCTTATCTCTACTAAAAATGTGAAAGTTAGCCAGGCATGGTGGCGGGCGCCTGTAATCCCAGTTACTTGGGAGGCTGAGGCAGGAGAATCACTTGAATCAGGGAGGCAAATGTTGCAGTGAGCCGAGATCATGTCACTGCACTCCAACCTGGGCGATAGAGACTCCGTATCAAAAAAAAAAAAAAGAGCACTGAGATTCATATTTTGAGATATTATCTCCCTACTTCCATTCAAAACAATAAGGCAACCACGTGTGGGGCACTGAAGTCACCTGGCTAGAGGTAGAGTAGGCAGGCAGTGGACCCCCCCGTGAAGCCTGGGCTATTTTCAGCTGCCCACAGCACCTCCGTGTAAAACCGACTTTCATAAAGCAAATGTCTTTCCAAAGCAGTCTGACGTGGAGTTGTTCAAACACTAAAAAAAATAAAATTTATTATGCATATGCATTGCATAGGCGTTTCGTGTGCTGCAAAGTGGAACATTCACATCAGAGTACATGGATGAGAAATGAGAAACTCACACTGCATTTCCAGGTAGTTGGAAAGGCCTTAAAGAAGAAGGAAATTTAACAGCAATTTAAAAGGCTCTTTAGATTGTAACTGAGAGGGACTAGGGATGGGGTAGGGAATTGTTACTTGTTATTATAAGCACTTCTGTACTGTGTCTTCATTTAGAAAAGAAGTCTGCTGGGTGCGGTGGCTCACGCCTACAATCCCAGCACTTTGGGAGGCTGAGGTGGGCGGATCACCTGAGGTCAGGAGTTCGAGACCAGCCTGGCCAACATGGTGAAACCCCATCTCTACTAAAAATACAAAAATTAGCTGGGCATTGTGGCAAGTGCCTGTAATCCCAGCTACTTGGGATGCTGAGGCAGGAGAATTGCTTGAACCTGGGAGGCAGAGGTTGTAGTGAGCCAAAACTGCACCACTGCACTCTAGCCTGGGTAACAGAGCGAGACTCAATCTGAAAAAAAAAAAAAAAAAAAAGGAAAAGAAGAAGTCAGAAAAGATAGTGCAAATTTACATAATGTGTTTTGTGTTAGTTTCCTAGGGCTGCTGTCACAAAGACCCACAAACCGTATGGCTCGAACAACAGAAATGCATTGTCTCATAGTTTTTGAGGCTAGACGTCTGAGATTAAGGACCTTAGATTTCTATATTTTAGAAAGATGCTAATGCAAAAAAAAGTTTCTGGAGTCAACTTGCAGTCATCGAGAAATCCAGGCATTAGAAGTACTGCATTTCTTCCTCCTGGACTCTTGGATCATTGAGAGTGTATTCCAGCCATTTCTGTTCCTGTACATGGTAACATTTTTTCTTTTTCTCTCATCCTCCTCATTCACTGTTTTTGACCTAGATACTAGTCATTGAAATTAAACAGCACGTTTACAAGCATTTTACATGAGTTAACCCTTTTACTTCAAATAACACAGTAAGCCTATGAAGTAGGAATGAATAGTATCCCCATTTTGCATATGAGGAAACAAAGGCTTGGAGAGGCTGAGTAACTTGCCCCCGCATTTAGGGCTAATTAGCAGTGAGCTGAGCTGTAAACCCAGGTTGTATGTCGTAGAGTCTGTTCCTAGGCACCAGTCTGTACTATTCATCGTGAAATTAAAGCAGTAGCAATTGTTGTTATTTATTTTTATTTTTTAGACAGAGTCTCACTCTGTTGCCCAGGTTGGAGTGCAGTGGCGCAATCTCAGCTCACTGCAACCTCTGCCTCCTGGATTCAAGCGATTCTCATGCCTCAGCCTCCCGAGCAGCTGGGATTATAGGCGTGTGCTGCCAGGCTTGGCTAATTTTTGTATTTTTAGTAGAGTCGTGGTTTTGCCATGTTGGCCAGGCTGGTCTTGAACTCCTGGCCTCAACTGATCCGCCTGCCTTGGCCTCCCAAAGTGCTGGGATTACAGGCCTGAGCCACGGATCCCTGAGGTAATTGTTATTTTTTTAATGTAACTTTTATTTTAAGTTGCAGTAGCAATTATCATAGGGTTTTACGTAAATATCAACAAAGTTTCTACAGTTCCTTGGCATGTGGTAGGTGAGCTATGAATGCTGCTTCTCTTTTTTTCCTCCTTATGTGTCTAATCTTTTTTTTTTTTTTTCTGACTTGTTATTTTGTAATGCAGACATTATTTGGGAGTCATAAAGATTACAATGTTTGTTCAGAAACTCCATAAAGCATTGCAGTTGGCAAGTTATTGGAATTTTTCTCTTGCTATTGGTAAGTGATCCCAAAGATAAAACTTCCTGAAGAGAATACATGGTTTTTGACAATGCTATAATATTTCATAGGATCTTAGGCTAGGCTAGCTCTGAGGTCACACAGAAACATGAGCACAGAGGTGTTGATAGGATTTACTTCCATTTCTGAATTCTGACACGGTTCTGAAGTTTTAAAAATGCTATGAACATAATTTTTCCTCCAATTCTATCTCAGGGCAGTGAGTTTTTTTCAGGTCACATCCAAATTTTGGTAGTGTTAACTCGAGGTCTGTTGGAAATTAATCTGAGAATACCTTCTGGAGATGGAGACTGTTGGATCTGGGATTTGTTTTTTACCTACTTAGAAGCTGATAAGTGAGCCTGTGCCTGTTTCACGGATGCTGGCGCTAGACAAAGATTCCTGTGTCAGAGATAAAAGCCTTTATTATTCATGGCAGAGCAGGCAGCATGGGCGTCAGCATATTTGCTTTGGTTTTCTCTGCCTCTGAGTCCTCTGGGGACGATGCAATGTGACCTAGATGAATGCCACCCATGCGGGTCTGAGATGCCACTAAGAAGCACTGAGCTTTGGGACTCCACCATTTTCAGAGCAAGCAGTTGGCAGTCTACTGTTTGTCCTGGGGGAGACACCATCTCATCTCTCAAGGTTACTAACTGAATAAGCAATCCTGAGAAATGACATGGGGAAAAAGAACAGAGAGTAATGATAAAACTTTTCATCAAGGCTGTATAAGTGGCAAACCAATCATTAGCGGAGATTGGAAAAGCAATGAAGAGGCGGCTCCAGCAATCGGGGTAAATGACAGAGCAATCTGCAAGACTGTTTTCTACAATAACTTGGAAAACAGCAAATGCTACTAATAAACTTTTGGATTTCATTAAGGAAGTCCCCAGGCAGAAAGTTGAAAGTGTCAGTTTGTTGGTCTAAAATACATATATGGTAAGGTAGAGAGATGAAGTCAAGAAGTAGCTGTTTCATTTGCAAGTAGAATTCAGAGAAAACAGAAAGGATCCAAATCATTACACATTGTATACATGTATCAAAATATCACATGCGCCCCCTCCCGCAATGTGTACAACTATGACATATTAATAAAAAAAAAGGATCCAAGATTTGGTGGGTTGGAAGATAAAACTGTTTGATCATCCCTGGTCTCCACAGCTCATAGAAGATTCTCAAAATGAAATGAGACCTGGGGCCAAGTCCCAAATTAAGTGTACAGCTGTGACGTCATATTTAAGGTTGCCGAAAGAGTCAAGGCAGCGTCTCCTGAACACCCTCAGTAGACAGGGAAGCATTGTTGCACTCAGCCTGACTTATGACCCAAAGTAGAAAAAGAAGAGTCTAAACAAAAATTACCAATGTGACTTTTGCCACATGAAGATCTGTAGCAAAGTCACAAGAAATCCAGAAAAATTTTAAGAGAATTTTCCTGGTAAAAGCACTGCCAGCTTGCACTAAAAGGAACAGACTGTTCAAAATGAAAAAAAAAAAAAAAAATGACCTGTGGGCTCCCGACTTTCTATAGGTAGGAGGCAGACTGAGAAAGCTACTCAGTGGCAAAATGGGCTATTTCTTATAGAAATGAAAAGTTGTCCCAGAGGGCTGAGCTAAGGGCCCCTCGTACAGTGTAGAACCAAGAGCCACTCTGAGATATGAGCTGGGTGGTTTCATGCCAAAGGAACAGCAATGAACCCTAATCAAGAATTTTCCCAGGGCCAGGCACAGTGGCCCACACCTGTAATCCCAGCACTTTGGGAGGCTGAGGCAGGCAGATCACTCGAGGTCAGGAGTTCAAGACCAGCCTTGCCAACATGGTGAAACCCTGTCTCTACTAAAAATTCAAAAATTAGCCAGGTGCGGTAGCACACACCTGTAATCCCAGTTACTCAGGAGGCTGAGGCACAAGAATCACTTGAACCTGGGAGGCGGAAGTTACAGTGAGCCAAGATTGTGCCATTGCACTCCAGCCTGGGTGAAAAGAGTGAGACTCCATCACAAAAAACAAAACAACAACAACAACAACAACAACAAAAAGAACTTTCCTGGCTTCCAGTTTAGGGGGACCTGGCAACATGTGTCCAGCTGTATTTGAGAACTGCCATGGAAAAATGACTTCTATGCCCCTCCATCCTTCCCTTTTGAATAGGATTATTTATTGTGGTTATCCTGCTTTACTATGCTATTTCAGGTATGTGTTGGGTGGAAAACTTGCCTTTTTATTTTGTAGGTGTCCAGACTGAGGGGTGCTGCACCTGAGGATAAGCCCTCCAGGAGCCTCACTTGGACCCAATGCAGATGACTAGCCTTGAGCATGATGCCATAATTGGATGAGGCACTTATGAGGCCCTCGGTGTTCCTAGGGTGGGGCAAGCATACTGTGCATGCAAGAGGAAAATAAATAATTGTGGTCAGATGAAACATGATGGGAGATTGGAAAAAAAATGGCCAACTTTTTATGCTGACTTTGTCATCAAGAAGTGGAGTTTTGGGAGCAAAATGGCTGACTTTTTTTGCTGACTTTCTCATCAAGATGTAGAGTTTTGGGAGCTCAATGATGAGAACACATGGACACATAGAGGGGGACAACACACACTGGGGCCTTTTGGAGGGTGGAGGGTGGGAGGCGGGAGAGGATCAGGAAAAAGAACTAATGGGTATACCTGGGTGGTGAAATAATCTGTAGAACAAACCCTCATGACACAAGTATACCTATGTAACAAACCTGCACTTGTACCCCTGAGCTTACAATTAAAATTAAAAAGAAAAAAGAAGTGGAGCGTATCCCCCATATTCTCTGAATGTGGACTGGCCCTGTGACCGGCTTGGACCTGTGGAATGCAGCTGCAGTGGTGCTGGGCGGCTTCCTGCACGAGGACGAGGCCTCAGAAGATCTTAGTGTCTGCTCTCTTCCTCTTTGTATGCCACGCGAATGTGAAAAGCCCACGCTGACCTGCAGGAGACATGCGGCTCAGTCAAGAGCCAGAACCAACCGCCAGACATAATGAGGTCGTTTTTTTCCATCCAACCCTATGGAGCTGCAAGATAACTGCAGCTATGTTAGTGACCTCAGCAGAAAACCTGACTGGCATAGCCACCTGCTATGGTCTGAATATTAGTCCCTGCTAAAACTCACGTTGACATAGTCCCCACTGCAACCGTATTAAGAGAGTGGGGAATCTGACTGGGGCATTTGAGAAGAGGGACCTTTGGGAAGTAATGAGGATTAGATGAAGTCATGAGGATGGGGAATTAGTGACTTTATAGGAGGAGAAAGAGTCCTGAGCTAGCATGCTCAGCCCCTTGCTGCAGGATGCCCTGAACCGCCTTGGGACTTTGCAGAGTCCTCACCAGCAAGGCCTTTACCAGATGCAGCCCTTGACCTGAGGCTTCCCAGCCTCCAGAACGGTAAGAAATGGATTTCTTTTCTTTATGAATTACCCAGTCTCAGGCATTTAGTTATAGCAACAGAAAATGGACTAGGGTGCCACCCAGATTGCTGAGCTACAGAATCATGAATGACAAAAAAGAGTTGATTTGAGCCACTACGTTTCAGAGTGGATCATTATGGCCCCAAAAGTAACCAATATAAACGCTTTTGATGCAAATTCACCACAGGCATAAAAATCCTTCCAAAAGAGTCTCCCAAGGACTTTGGAAAACTGAGGTAGTACCACTAAAAGCTGTCCATATAGACCTAATTATTTAATAGTTGTGCTCTTAGGTATACACAATAGAAATTTGTGCATGTACTCACCAAAACACATGTAAAATAAGGTACACAACAGCAATTTATAATAATCCCAAACTGGTAGCACCCCAAATTTCCACCAACAGTAGAATAGATAAATCAGTTGTGATATACAGTAGAATGCTATACAGAAAGAAAATGCACAGATATACCTCACAAACATAATGTTAAGTTAAAAAAAGCCAAACACAAAAGAAAGCATGTTGTGTGGTGAACAATCAGGATAATGGATATCTTTGCAGTGAAGGACTAATGACTAGGAGGTGGCCCATGTAAGCTTCTGGGGGGCTGGTAGTTTTCTATTTCTTGACATTGGTGGAGATTACAAATGTGTGTTCATTTTGTGAGAACTCATTGAGCTGTAAACTTATGATTTATGAAGTTATTTGTATGTATTTTATACTTAAATAAAAACATTTCTTTTTTTAAAAAGAGAATCCTAAGATTAATAAAGGAATTTGAGAAAGGACAAAATTCATGTTTTTTTTTTTTAATGCAAAATCTGGAATTTCCAATTTGTTTATCCCAGTGTCTTCAGGAAGGAATTCACTTTTATTTTGTCTTACATTCTCTCTGTTGAAACAATCCCCATTGATCTGATTGCCATTTGATAAACTCTTTTCTCTCTTATACCTGAGTCCTGTTTTTATTTCAGTAATAGTTATCAAGTATGACTAACATCCTTTAATAACTATTATATGTTATGAATTTCAGGAGAAAACACATTTGCCACTGAGGATTTTAGATGATATCATCTTGTAGCCAAAGCAAAAGTTGTGGGAGGAAGCAGCAGAAGATGAAGATGAAGTAGGTTGGGGCTGATTACAAAATACCGTGAAGGTATGCAAGATGTCACACTTTATGCAAGAATTAAAAAAGACAACCATTATATCTGGATTTTACAAAAGTCATGAGATAGCTGGGTTTAAAATGGCATAGTAAGAGAGTTCTCCTGCAGCCTCATCTCTAAAAATGCCACCATACAAAAATAAACAGAAAAGAAAACTCCATGTTTGAATAAACGAGGGGACAGCTGTGGTGCAGAAGCACAGTAGATGGGGGAGGGTGGCCAAATTCAGTGACGACAGTAAAACGTGGGCTTGATGTCCACAGAAGGTGCCTGGAGTACAGATCTCTCAGAACGTCAGCAGAGCAAGACAAAAAATATGTAATTTGGAACAAAGGGAAACACACAGACCCACCATGTTTGCTAGAAGCAGTTTGCCAGTGGAGTGGAGGAAACTGTATCACATGCAGTGCCAAAGTTATCAGTCTGGATTTCCTGGGGGAAAAGTGGACACTGAAAAATCCTCCTGCAACCCAAAACCTCACTCAGGGAACCTAATTGTGATTCTGATACTCTGGATATTATCCCCCAGCCCGTCTTTCATGATATTTCTGCAATTATTTGATATAAAAAGAACTGAATAATTCAACAATGACCACTAAGAAACATTAGACATTTGTAACTTGTAACCTGCAACAAATTGTAGCAACTAGTAATGCAAACCATACAATGATACTATAATTTAAAAAGTGGGGAAAGGAGGAACACAAATGCTGGCTGAAAAAACACGATCAGAAAAATGTTACCGCAAAGCAAGTGAACGTTGCAGCCAAACAGCACCATTCAAAACCTAAAAAGGAAAAAGAAGTAATGTTTGATTCAATTGTGTCTATAAAACAAAAGCTTAAAGAAGAAATATAGGAAATTCAGGAAAAATATAGCAGGGCAACATAAGGAGATGAAACATAAACTAACAGACTAAAGGGAAGAAGAAAAAATACATATTCACTATTACAGAAATAAAAGTGTCATTAAAAGTAGCTCAAAGGAGCATATAGATGGCATATTGAGAAAAGCAAACAAAATGTAATGTAAATGGACACACTTAAGAAGGATTAGAGAGAAACTGATCTATCAAAGACAAAAGATGTTTAATATATGCGTAAGAGGTGTACATGACAAAGATAAAAATAATGGAACAGAAAAAAATTGGAAGATATTTAAATGTTAAGGCTGGGCACGGAGTAATCCCAGCACTTTGGGAGGCTGAGGTGGGCAGATCACTTGAGGCCAGGAGTTGGAGACCAGCCTGATCAACATGGTGAAACCCTGTGTCTAGTTTAAAAAAAAAAAAAAAATTAGCCAAGTGTAGTGACACACACCTGTAATCCCAGATACTCCGGGGGCTGAAGCAGTAGAGTTACTTGAACCAAGGAGATGGAAGCTGCAGTGAGCTGAGATCACACCACAGCACTCCAGCCTGGGCAACAGAGTCTGTCTCAAAAAACAAAAAGATATTTAAATGTTTAATACACATTTCCAGGAGTAAAAGGAAATTTGAATGTGCAGTTGTCCCAGAAAATTAGAAAAAATATTCCATATATTTATTTAGTAGAAATAGAAGACATGAATCTGCAGTTTGAAGGGACCCAACTTATTGAAAAAATTGATACACACTAATCAACAGCAGTAACATCTGGTAAAGTTACCAGTCTACAAAGATGAAGCCAGAGACCTTGGCATTTTGGTGGGGAGGAAATGCTCGAGCCACCTCTAAGGGGGAAATGTAAGGCTGGCCTCTGACTCTTCAGGAAACATTCAATGTTAGAAAACAATGGAGTTTTGCTCACAAAGCTTAGAGAAACAGAGTGTGACAAACATTTTTTTAAAACTGAGCTAAAATTTTCCAATATAAAGGCAACATACAATTTTTTTTTTTTTTTTTTTTTTTTTTAAATACAGAGTCTCTGTTACCCAGGCTAGATTGCAGTGGTGTGATCTCAGCTCACTGCAACCTCTGCCTCCCAGGTTCCTGTGATTGTCATGCCTTAGTCTTGCGAGTAACTGGGATTATAGGTGCATACCCCCACGCCCAGCTAATTTTTGTATTTTTGGTAGAGAAGGGGTTTCACCTTGTTGTCCAGGCTGGTCTTTAACTCCTGGCCTCAAGCTATCCATCCGCCTCAGCCTCCCAAAGTGCTGGGATTACAGGCGTGAGCCACTGCACCTGGCCCCCATACACATATTTTTTAGTCACCCAGGATGCAAGTACTATAGCTTTTTTTTTTTTTTTTTTTAGATGGAGTCTTGTTCTGTTTCCCAGGCTGGAGTGCAGTGGCATGATCTTGGCTCACCACAACCTCTGCCTCCCAGGTTCAAGCTATTCTCCTGCTTCAGCTTACCGAGTAGCTGGGGCTACAGAAGCGTGCCACCATACCTGACTAATTTTTGTATTTTTGTAGAGATGGGGTTTCCCTATGTTGGCCAGGCTGGTCCCGAACTCCTGACCTAGTGATCCGCCTGTCTTGGCCTCCCAAAGTGCTGGGATTACAGGCGTGAGCCACCGCGCCCAGCCTAAGGACTATAGCTTCTGTGAGCCCTTCTTAAAGAAACTACTATAGACAAACTTCAGCCAAATAAAAGCTCAATGAAAAAATTGCAGTGTAACATCAATTCTACTTGCAGGATTCAGACCAAAACAGATCTCATGCTATGGTTGAAAATGAAAAGTTAAATCTGTAAATTCTGATGATGTAGAAGTGATGTAGCTATTAAAATTTTGGAGGGTGAGATAGTGAGAAGGTATGAGATGACCTAAGTACTATGATTTCTTTAATAGAGATTGAGATACAAGAAACATTGGAATCTGGTATAAAAATAATAGATGGCAAATATATTTAAGGATAAAAGTAAATATTAAGATAATAAACAAAAATCAGATAATATGGGAATGTGGAAACAAAGGAAATATACTAACATTATTGTTCATAATGGGAGTAATTTGTACTATCTAAAAATAGATTAAGTATTAAACAATTATAACTATCAAAAACTTTGTAACAATAAACGCCTCTAAGATGGAGAACTGGGTAC